AGGCCAAGTGGGCAGCCTCGGTCGCGCTCATTCCGGCATCCGCACCTTCTCCAGAGGCCCCTTTGAGCGGCGTTGCGTGTCTTGAAGCGGGCATGGACTTGACCATGGACCTTGTGGATCGTTTCCTCGCGTACGGTCGATACGAATGTCTGGTTGGAAGGCTCATGCTGCAGTAGCGAGCTCCAGGACGGTGATTGTGCAGCGACCAAGCCGTACTGCCGCATCCTTCCGGCATCGGTGTTGTCGTCGCTCATGGAATCTGGCGCGCCGCTGCCATCGCCAGCAGCGTACCTGGACCTTCTCTCGACCGAGATTGTCGTGCTGCCACTCCTTCAAGGGTACTAGCCTTTCTGCTCGCATGCATCTCTCATGACACGTCTTGTGGAATGTAGAGACCACTGGAGCGTGACCATGGTCTTCCGTCTCAATACAGCTGCGACCGAGCCGGCAACGATTGCATTTCTCGACACGTTCGACAGTCGGCACCACGAGCGCACGATTCACGCCCAAGTGCGCACGTTTCTGTCAAATGTGCATCGCGAGAGCCGTCCGCGCAGGCGGCAGCCGCTGAACGTGAGTGAGGTCTACGTCAAGGTGCCATTTCTGCGCGACCCCAATGACAGTGGCATCTCGGTGCTGCTCAACGTGCAGACCACCCTCGTCGAGTACAGCGAAACACGATCGGCACGCGAGCGTCTCCGCATTCCATCGTCAGGCATCAATTTAGATGGATTGTACCATCGGTTTTGTGATGTGGCAGAAATGGTCCCAGATAAACGCGACGCGATGCTGCGGACGCTCCGATGCCTTTAAAATACTTTATCGAAGGTGATGATTCGTTGTTTTGCAAATTCGTGAGTCAACTTGACTCGCTAATTGCGTCCACGAGTCATTAGTCATAACTCACTAATTGAAAAAGCAGGGTGACTCGCCGTCCCTGGTCCGCACATACCGGTGCGTCATCATCGTTGTCGGGCAAAAGGTCCTTCTGATACACTTATCATCGCCATAGACTGGCCAGTATGTCAGAAAACATGTGTTTGTGGCCAACGAGCACGTGCAGCGAACGATCGCAATACCTGTGCTTTCGCTTTTTATCCAATTCCAAATTCAGTGGGTCCGAGACAAACGACAAACTATCAACCAAATGGAGTGTACCAAGTGTACGCGCCGAGACAACCGCTGCGAGCTCCTCCTCATTCGAGTGCGACGTATTTTAGTGTCCGATGCCCCCAGTATTCTTCCTGCACGAACACAGCTTTGCCTTGGTCCCTTGGCATTTTGAAGCCCCGGCTTTCGCCGATTGTACTGGGCGATATAACCGCACTCCCATTGCAAAGTCACAGCACTTGGTCAATACTGAATGATACTTGGCGTGCTAGAGATGGAGGAGATGTACGGTTGCGCTCGCTCGCTGCGCGTGCTCGTTGGCCAAAACCACATGTTTTCTGACACACCCCGTGGACTGTTGTACAGGTCGCCGGCGTTGATGGAGTGTTAGTGATGGCGTGTCTGTAGCATGGAGTGTATCGTCGTCCTTTGCAATGCGACCACTATAACGCGAATCCATCGAGACAAGAATCCAGTCACCGCTCTCGAGATCTGCAGTGTCGTGAGGCGCCAATCGCCTTTTAGGCCCCGACCTCGCCCAGTGGCCAAGGAAGGTTCAAGGGCCCTCTCACGACCTTCAAGATAGAAGGATTCCCTCGCTGGATGGACGCGTGCCGACCAAGGACCCGCGCAACGTGGCGTCCCGGCGATGCATTGGTGTGAGACACCGACCCCTCAAGGCATTCGAGCCAATCCAAGGCCAGACAGCTGTCTGGTAGTAGCGACGCCTTTTGGCAGGCTGTAGACGTAGACAACTGACGTTAATCACATCCCTTTTACGACTGAAGACGACTGAGCTACATCCCGCCGTGGACCCGTGTTCGGGCTTCACGACAGCAGTCTGGCTATGACGGTGTTGCCACTGCGATAACTTGGATACTGGTGCAGGGCCACAACCACGTACAACAATCCTGATACCGCACTGCCTCTTCTGCGTGATACACTGTACTAAAGTCGTTTGAGAGCTCAGTGCTGGGCAAAAATGTCGTCCAAACGCACTGCGTATAGTTTTTGTGAAACGCGATCCTCCCCAAGGGAATCTCGAGTACACAACTCAATGATGGATCGCCCTTTTGAGTCATCCTAGTACTAATAGGGTCCTTGAACGGCTTTAAAAAAGTGTCGGTGTTCCTTGGCGCATGCTGGCTTTATAATTCAAGTCGAGGTCAACAAACCGTCAAGTGCGACGGATTCATGAGAGTGCATCATTCCGTCTCACCTATCATCGCTCTTCCTCAACTGCCGCGTCTGCGAGAAGGCCCATTCACTGCATTCGGATCTTTGCACATCGTTTGCGCCCACGTCGCCAAACCTCATTTCCGAATTGGCCACCGAAAGCAACTACCACAAGCATGGGCATCAAGATCCGCAACGACACGCGCCACGACGTCCTCGTCATTGTCTTCACGTACTTCACGACGCCGTTCCCGACGCTGTATTACCGCAAGACGCTGCTCATCCCGGCCGGCGAGCGCTACAACTGCCCGACGTGGCAGAGCGCTGTCAAGATCTACGCGTGGGAAGCCGACAGTAGCAACGGGCCCCAAATTAAGGCGTTCCTCGAGAAGCGCTTTGGCAGAATCACGGCGGCACGCCTTGCCTTGGCGCCCATTGGCGGCGACCTCCTCGATATTGCGAGCGCGGCCGCCGAGCTTCTCGGCGACTCCATTTTGGACATGCTCATTCACTCGATTCTCGAGGACGCAATCGACTTCATCACGGGGAAGGCCATGGACAAGATGCAAGCCAAGATCGAAAATGCGGACGAGGACTTTGAAAAGATGCAGGAAGCCATCATCAACGAGTGCAAGGCCGGCACGACGCACCAGTTCAAGACGACGATGGCTAAAAAGACGTTCTTGATGACGCAGAACGCGCTCTTTCTCCGTCGCCAGTTTTGCATCCACCGCGTCGGCACCAACCAGCTCGAGATCGACGGCGCCGGCATGTCGTGGTTCTAGACGATCCATCGATTGGTTTTCTATATATTTTCAAGCGTTAATTTCATACAATTGCCTTCCACTTTTTCTGACAATATGATCTTGCTTGTGAGGGAGTTACGAAGGAGCGGGATCGATCCACGTACCTCTGCAAGGTGCCGTCGTCGTCGATGGCGCTGCTGCCGACGCCGTCGTACCGGTATGCTGCGGTTGATGCGCAAAGCTAGCAGGAAAGCCAGAAGTAAATCCACTTGACGAGCGTCCGATTGGCTCCTTTCCAACCAATCACGGTGCTCAGCGATGCGATCTGCTTCAACGAAATCATTTCTGGATTGTCGAGATGGCACCGACGTCGCTGTGGCACAACTCGGTCGTACGTCTTCTCCTGCTCGGGACACTGGACGAGGAAAGCTCGCTTCATGGACTACGAGGCCAGACCGACATTCTCAAGGCCATCGTCAACCATCTCCATGCGATCTGGCGGGCGCAACTCAAGGCTGACCAGCGCGGCTACGTCCCTCTTACCCACGTCATTATGCCCTTTGACACGCCGCGCGAGACGCCGATCCCAAACGTTCCTCAACTCGTTACCTTTCCACCGCCAATTACGCATCTCGTTGACGGCGTCGAGCAACCAAAACCATTCCTCGTCAACATGATGCCCTTCATCATTGGCCATGCCGAGTCGACGCTGCCGCCCGAGTGTCAGCGCTATGTCCCGCTTCTCAATCGTTGCCGCCACCATGACGAGAACGGCAAGGTGGGGTACCTTACGATCCACGAAGGCATTGTCGAGGCCGACACCTCTCAACGTCGTCCCGGCTCCACGTCGAAGCGCCATCCGCTGCCAAGCTCCAGTGTTATCTGGGCGCTGGCGAAGCACGCCACAAGTGGGTAGAGATTCGCTGGGGCCGCGGCTGGATGGTCCATCACGAGCTCCAAGGTGGTATCTACATGGCTTCCACGGTCGCCAAGTCGTGTGGGGTGCGTACTTCCGACATGATCAAAGTGTGTTTGTTCTACTATCTATTTGACTAGGTCTGGAACACGGTCGTCGCAGATGAAAACGATATCGTCGGTGCTCACGGTGACGTGGATGTCCTCCACGGTGTCTTGGACCGTGAGCGCGATGGCTACTACGAGCCGCAAGCCAATGAGCTGTACTGGATCACAGATCGGACGCCGCACGAGTCTCTTCCGGTGGCAACCACGCAGTTTCGGCAGTACTTCCGCTTCGTTACGAGCAACGTCTCGCACTGGTTTGCAGAGCACTCGACGCCCAACCCACTGGGCATTCAGCCGACGGCCACGATCGTCTACGGCAACAAGTTTACGGGTACCTTGACGACCGAGACTTCAGCGTAGTGATTGGGGTTCGTTTAGCCAGGACATGTACTCGTGTAAATGACCCATAAAAGGCAAGACACATGCACATGCGATGCTATTTAGGTCGCTGCATTGGTCAAAAGCTCCCGCAAACACTGATTTCGTCTCAATCACTGCATGAAACTACCGGATATCGCTCGATTATCCGTACAATGTCAATCTATCGGGATTAGGCCAGAAGGGTCGTTTTTGGGCTCGTCCACCCTACTATTAGTACTCTTTACCAAGCAACAGTACGGTACCAAGTTGTCGCCTTGGGCATCATGCTCCATAGCGACACCAATTTTTATTTAACATCGTCTTTACGTACCTTCGTGTGTACTCATGTACCGCACACCGCTTGCCGTGCATCCCAGTAACGTGTGCTGCATGCTAGTTGTAGATTTTTAGTGAGGTTATAGTATACTAGCATGTCGTAGGATCAAACAGAATAGCCGAGCAAGACGTCTTTTGGGCCGAAGTTGCACGAGCCGGGCGTGTACGACTCTGTGTGGGTCGCGACCTGGGTGAGGACGCAAATCGGGCAACAGCACGCGCAGCAAACGTCCTCGCAGCAGCTACCGGGGATTCGGAAGCGCGCGCGAACTTCGCCGCGGATGCAGAAGATGGGAAGCCCAAAACACAGCGTGAAGAGGCAGCACGAGCTCCAGAAGGACCCGTTCAAGCGGTGGCGCGTCTGCGCGAACGAGATACACGGGCAGAACCACACCATCAAGAAGTTAGGAACGCATGCATCGAGGCATCCACAGATCCCCGACTTCCATTGGCCAATGATAATACCGTTCTGGTCGACGTTGACCTGGCGCTGGCCCATCGGGCTGGCGACTTGGCCCGTTGGGATGACGGCTTGGCCAGTCTCGAGATCGTGAGGGGGAATAGTGCTCATGGCTTGGAAGGCAAGCGTAGAGGTGATGAGAGCTCGAGACGAATGCAAAAGTGGGTCCCTCGAACGAATGCGCTGGAACGCAGCGATTGGCACCGCTATAATTAACCAGGAGATGTAAGAGGGAGTTTCTTGCGAAAAACACGTACGAGGCAGAAACCGACATGGGGCTCACACACACGACCCACCCAGATCCATCGGTCGTGGGTGGGGTGCTCTCCGGCCAAGAGGTCGTTTATAGGTCTCGAAGGATCGTTTCCAAGAAGTGGACGAGGTCTTCTGCGCGAGGCCGAGCAATCCAAAAGATCAAATCTAGAAGGGCTCGAGACACAAGATCCAGGTGCCGAGCACGCGACCCAAATGTGTAGTGTCAGTCAAATGCCAACCCGCCTCGCACTGGCATGGCGGACACCGACACGGTAATTGCCCCTAGTAGTTCGGCCTCGGCCCTGATGGAGAAAGAGATTGTCACACTCGATTGTTGCCCTAATTGACAAACGAACGATTCAAGTGTTTTTATGGGTCGCGGGTGGGCTCAGGGGTCGAAGTGTGATTTCTGGGGTCCATGGGGTGGTCAAGTGAAAATGGAAAAAGTATGGACCCCATACCGGTAGGTTTAACGAGATTGCGGAATGTCGGGCTCGGTTCCAGAGCTGTTTTTAGACCAAGGCGAGCAACGGCTCCATCGTTAAAACCACCACACGCTTTTCACCAGGATCACTCACAACCGCTCGAGTGGTTACTTAACCGCCACGCGCTAAAGCATAACCGCCAAGGTCGCAGATCCCCTGCTTGATTCCAATTTCGGCATAAAGCTCCAAACCCAAACCTTGGGCACCATTTACACGGCTTTGCTTTAACCACCAGTCCCTTTTTGGGCATCGATCGCGAAACTTATGGATCTTTTAATGCACTAGCATTTGCAGCCTTGGAAACGAACACTGCCACGTCCATTTTCCTTCAGTGAAAAAATCCCGCGAGGAGACATTCGTTTCTTTGTGCAATAGAAATTCTTCTATAAAATAGTGGGTGTCAATGATGGCAGACGGGTCGCGTTCCGATAGCGTTTTTCAGGTCGCGTCAAATTAATTCGACGACTTTTTGTTAATTGAAAAGAAAACACTCGACCATAAACATTGACGAACCCAATCAGGTCGTTCCACCGGTCACGCATATATCTCAAATGTGCCGACCGACCAATAGAATCGCGTTATCGACTTGATTGGCCTGAAAGCGTCGCGCGCGGCTATATTTGAATTTGCATCGCACATCGCGAGGCCAAGCGATGCCATCGAGCTCTGACGTGACCACCGGGAGAATCACTGACACCAATAGAGCTCTTTCGAAGCCCAGTTGAGTTGAATCTGAGTCTCGGCGGCCGATTTTTAAGCGATCTGATTGGCTGTTTGGAAAAAATCGATTTTTTCCGAGACTCAACGCCATCTCGAGTTACGACAAGTGCCCTGTTGTCTCAACTGCATCGAGCGAGTTGAGAGAGTCTCTGATTGGTCAGATTCGTCGGGTCCCTCGCGTACGGATAGAGGTGCTGTCGGTGGCGCTCGACGTGCGACCGCGCGAGCGCTGCACGGCTTATCGCTCCATGGCACTGCTTCTCCTGGCGCTCGCAGTTGAGGTGACCATGGGGCTCATGGCGCTCTTCGCGCGCCGCTTCATATTCTGCTTCGACGGGATTCCAGCACGCTCGTGTGCCTCTGCATTGCGGACTCCTGCTCCGCGCTTGTCCATCTTCAGACATCACTCTCCCACCAATCCATCCTCCTCCATCTAGCAGTATAGCTTCACCATGCAGTTCATGGACTAGCCGTTCCTCGGTCTCTCCTCAAACCTGGCCTCCTCGTCGACGTCTTGCAAGCGCAGCGCGGGATCATCTGCGGCGGGATCGACTTGCGCAGGCTTGGCAGGGGCGGCCTGGACAAGCGCGGCCTTCTTGAGCAGCGGCTGCTTGAGCAGCACCTTGTATGGCTGCTTGCGCGACGATGCTACGGGTGGCGCGGCGCGGGCAGCGACTAATCTAGCTCCAGGACGTCTGCAGGCGAGTGCCGCCGCCCACCTGTCGTTGGCAGCGCCCGTCGAGAAATGCGAGCATGTTGTATTTTATTTTTATTTCCGGATAGCGCTGCCATCCGATCGCCACTGTGTAAACTCAAGTCGCCAGGTCTTCGAAATGCCCAGATATTTTACTGTTGAGTTTCGACTCGTGCGACACAATCTGAGACTCCGATTCAACTCAACTGGGTTTTCGAAAGAGCTCTAATGATGGCAGGCAGGTTGCAAGTATTTCAGGTCGATTTTTTCGTGCGATCTGATTGGTCCAAAATTGACTCCATTTGTCGTCACTGGGGCCCCGAAACGACCTGCCAAACGACCTGTATTTTCCAGTGCAAAAAATCGCACAGGAAAACTCGCGACCTGCCTGCCGTAATGCTTCTTCAAGTTTGGTGATTTGGCAAGATAAGTCGTGGCGAGGTTGGGCGCAAAATTTGTTATATACCGAGGTGAAAGGCGACCAACAGTATAGTGGTGTGCAGGGCCAAGATCTGATACCGCGCTTCTAGCACAAAAAGACCGTATCAGGTAGCAGATTAGCGACGCCGGAGGACCATGGAACGCTTGCGCTGCAGACGAGAAGGCTACACACTAATAAAAGACGTAGATATCTCGATCGTCCACTCGAGAGACATATATGTCAAACAAACGAGCAAGACATGGAAAAAAGCATATACTATGAAGCAATTCCCTGTGTCATGGCGCTCGTCCTGATGATCGCGGCAAGGCCCGCCGTCACGGCCTGCTGGGGATTAGGATGGCATGTATCTCGCCGTCGTCAGTAGAGCGTGTCGACGTTGGCCGCGAGCTGTCGGCCACAAAGGACGAATAAGAGGATATGGCGATGAAAAGGAGTGCAGCGCACGACGGCCGGCGCGAGCAGCAGCACGCAGGCTTCGACGTCGAGACACGATTCAAGGGTTGACGGGATGTACACGTACACGTAGAGTGTGGCGGCAGCGACCGGAGCGTACACGCGCCGTCGGATCGGATGTGGCCGTAGCGGTAACCGCTCTGGACGCGCAAGCGCATGACGTCGCGGCGGTCATGATGCTAGGCATATCGCGCCATCGCTCGCAGCGGCAATGATCGGCACGAGATCTGCGACAAGAACACTGGTGATTGGCTCGAAGCGTAACCTTGCCGCTCTGATTGGCCACAAATTCAAAGTCTTGTTGCTCTAATTGGCTGAAACGCTCTGGCCTGGCGTCGACGAAAATGAGGAAGACCGACGAGGAATGCTGCATTGCCACACCTCATGATGGCGTGCGCGTAGAGAATGTTGATGGAGTCTCCTTGAGCACAATGTAGCTGCATCAGTGGTGCCCGAGGAGCCTCGGCGCCGTCTTTCTGGCGTCGCGGGTCATATTTGGCGTTCGCCATTTACAACCATAATTACCATATTTTGGTGACCACAGGCCCACTCCGCCGGGGGATCGACCAAAATGAAGTTTGAAAATGAAATCGCCCATACTTGCCAGAGTGCTAGACCACACTTTGAGGAGTCCAAAATGCTATGTGACGTCGCCGCGCGAGCTTTGTAGCGAGAGCAAATGACAGCGGCAAACAATTATTTGATATAGTGTGCTTTTTCGCTATACTGAAATACTGTACGGGATACAAGGCCTCATCACACAGCGGTATCGCGCGCACTTTGCCTCCCTCGGTCACATGCAAAACTCTCTTTAACACGAATAAATAGAGATGGCGTCCTCGGTTTCCGCGATTTCGACGCATTTTCAACCGAAATTGCATGTCCAATTTCCTGAAAACCGACGCTTGGCAGTTCGAGTTTGGTGTGAGTGCCCAAGCAACGGTGGCGACCAACAAGCTGGTCGCACACTGGGTCGAGACCCATCGCCAACTGTGGCATTCAGTTTTACGGTCCTTGGAGCTTTGGAACCCCGCGATGTCACGTGAAATATTTGGGCAATTCTGCGGCCACCTCGAAAAATAGAAAATGGATTTCCACGTGATTGCGCTACGTGCAGCGTCGGAAACGACATGTACGTCATTCAACAAGTGTGTGGAGAGGTATACCCGGCTGCTACGTGGTGCTGGCGCGTCTGTGGGGTGCTACTCGTCGTTGTGCTGAATGGTGCTCACACTATTTGAGACGAGGTCGTGAATAAAGTATTGTGATTGGTCAAAAAGAATGAAAAATTGAGCCAATAAAAACATCCATTCCAGATCGAGTTC